GGCTGCCCTCATGCCCAGAGAAGAGAGAACAAGCCCTGGCACAAGCACAGTGTGATTTGGCTAAACCAGAACTTGAGAGTGCAGGGTCCTCACAACCAAATACCTCCCAGCTTCAGCAGTGGTTTGTATCTGTGACTTCAGCGCTAGACCCAATTAGAAAAAAGTTTTAAAACAATATAAAAGGTCTCCATAGATGTCAATAAAAAATGAGCAGGTATCAGGAAACAAGCAGCAGACACTACTGGCATACACTGGCTTCCACCGTGCCTTGCTCTACAATATTTATTGTCTGAAAAGTGTAACAAAAATTGCCAAGCTGCACCTTTTCAGTGCACTGCAGTACGGATGTCCCACTCCATTTTTCACATCAGCTCTTCGGGGTGCTCACACACACACTTACACAAGGATGATGTCTCAGACAACTTCCTTCTCACGGTTCCATCACAACTCAAAACACTTCAAGTGCCAGCACACAGAGGAAAGGACAGGAGTTCAGTGATGGGGGATGTCCCACCACATCTCTGTGGAAGTCTATTTCAGCACTGGCAGAGAGGTTACGGTTTTGTGGCTGTGCAAGGGTCTTACGAGGCCTGCAATGTTTTAGGGATGTCAGAAGGTTGAGCAGCACAAGTGAGAAGATGCAAATTTCTGACCAAAATCCATTTACAAGAAGTACAGCTATTTACAAGTAAATGGAAAATAATGTGAACTTAATTTTACATTTTTATTTTTGTTTATCTACATATGCTCATCTGGAGAAAGATTAAAATATGGTTACTGGTCCTTTACTAAGTTAGAAAAGCCCTGGGGGTCAGTATAGAATACAAACACCCATCTGTAATCTGTTCACGCAGATGCGTGAAAACCAAAGACAAAACTTGCTGAGATAACAAAAATGTCTTAATTTAATTTCTAATAGAGCAGTACAGTCCCTGCATAACAACATTGAGTTTATCTAAGAATTTGAGCTTAAATATCCTCTTTGTTAAGGTAGTTCCCACATGTTCCCTGTGACACAGGCAAGCAGACAGTAAGCTAGCAAAATATTAAGAGTTGCAAGTTTCAGCTGGCCAGGAACAACTCATGCCAGACAGTGACAGATCTGTTCGGACGAGAACATCTGCTGCTACTGCTGAGGATACCAGGAATACTTGGATCAAATCTATCCTATAAAAGGTCTGCGGATATATGCTACAACTTACACCAAACATACTAGTGCAAGCATGGCTTATTCTGGTGAAAGTAACTCTTATGTCACAATAGTTTACACTAGGCTCACAAACTAAATAAATTAAACCAGGACAATAGAATTGTATCTACATTAGGGCAACTGCCAGGACAACAAGTGCTAAAAAGAAATGCAGGCTTCTGGCTGGTTTGTTACAGAAGGAAAAATCAAGAGCTAACCTGGCTCAAATTTAACTTCTCTGGGATGCACAGCAACATCCCTTTGAGCCAAACCACACTTTGTCCTATAGCAGTCTCTTCCTGAGGAATCCTCCTTTTCTCAGGCTTGGGAACAGACCACAAGATGTTGGAGATATGCAGGAAGACTTGTATGTTTTGTAAATGACACGATTTGCTCCAGGGGCACACAGAGGGATTTGATAAACCTGTACATATAAGGCAATTCTGTAGGAATTCACACAACCACCCCAGACCTCACTGCCCTCAGAGAGCTGCAAGCAACTTGGCATTGAGTAGTTGAGGCAAGACCACAAGAATCAAACTACCACAAAAATTAAAAGTCTTACTGGTCCCATAGACTGAAAATATATTAATGAAACAGGCACTTATTTATTTTCTGTATTTGCAGAAGCTAGCCTACGGAGAAGAAAGGCAGATGGGACCCGCAATACCAGTAACACTTCCCCATGCTTCTGCATCCCCTTCATGTCTTTTGCCCTCTCCCCACTGAAACTTTTGAGCTCATGGATAATCCAGTTGCCAAATAACTAGAGGGAAGCCACATGACTATAATTTACAAGTGTCCTACTCATAACCAGTCAGCCAAACAGCTTCCATGCAAAACTAAAAAACAGGCAATGCTCTTCTCTCTGTGGCTGTACAAATCCTTCAGCACAAAGACTCTGCTCACACCCAACCACCCCCTCAGAAAGTCCATGCCTACTTATTTTCCTACTCACACCCTAAACTAAGCATTCATGCAAACCCTACAGAGCTTCTTAACTCGCCCACTGACTTGCCCACAGCCACAATGCAATAATGACATAGCCAGATACAGAAAACACCACACCAACTCATACTTCCACTGCTTCACTGCTAAGTATGTTTCACGTACCCATTCATTTTTCTTCCAAGTTTTACTTCCAAAATTAGTTAATGGATTTTTTCTGACATATATTGGAATTTTTCAAATGAGAGCGACCCAAATCAATTGGCATTTGGAGAGTGTAACAGCCTCCAGTACCAGAGCACGCTTTGAATCATCTACCCTTAAAACACAATGACATAAAATTCCTGAGTGTCTCACAATAACTCTTTATATAGAAACCTAAACCGATCATTTTGTTTGAAAAAACAAGTCTCAAAATAAATGGGACTTGCATAGACTAGATGCAGGCTGGAGATAAATTTAATCTCCAAAAAGAGCCACTGAAACATTACTTTTGGCTGAAAACATAACGCTCCAACACTGGCAACCTACCTGACCAATTCTACCCAATGTGAAGACCAGCTGGACTAAGAGATAGATCCTGGAGTGATAAAAAGAAGAGAGATAGGCAGCAGGTAAAAATTAGGCTCTACAAAGGTAGGTAATACAAATGTGTTTCTTAAAGTGCCATACAAGAACTAGGTACATATATTTTTGGTTCTTTACATCTCGCAAGCCCAAGGAGAGAAGATGAGTAAGCTTAAAAAAAAAAAAACAACAAACCTAACCTACTTTCACACATAGTTAATGAGCTCCTTCATAGGATTTGAACCTGAACAATTTTGAGTTTAAAAAAACCCCACAACTCTAATGACTACAAGTTTTGTTGCTAATGTAGTTATGTCTGGCGTTCCTACTTCTCACACACACTTAACTCATGTTCCCCCAGTACATTTTTCAGAGGTGAACAAAATGCAATACTTAAAGATTCAATTCTGTGAAAAGAGTACTTCTCCATAGAATAATTTACAGTGTCCTTTAATTAAGCAGTCTTTTTCACAGTAAAAAATTGCACATTTCCTGTAAACTCATCTTGCTATTACAATAGAGCAGCAGTTTTTCCACTATGACCTCTTTCCACCTAGAGCAGCCCTTCAGAACCTCTAATTTCAGATATGGCATACGGTCATCTAAAATATGATGACCAACAACCTAAAAAGCATTCAAGCGTTTTGAAGGGTATTGGATCAATGGCTCATTTCAATTCCATGTCTTTGATTTGTCTTTCACCACAGTCTTCAGAAACTGCTTCTTAAGACAAGCAGTGAAACAAATTATTATTAGCACATAGGCTCCGCGGTGTCTTTTTTGCAAATTCTTGCTGATCTTCCTTCCCTGTGAGTTTTATTTCATTTTGTATCTCAGCTCTGCTAGCTCAACCGGTGCAGAGAACTGCTTCTTTAGGTCTGTCCATGATCAACACCCATTTAAAAGTTAATCAACAACTTCATATTCTATTTGTTCTTAGTTTATTTTTGTACTTGAGAATGTCAAAGTTGTACTATAATGGTCACCCAAAATACCATCTTGCCTAAAAGCAGACAATAGGACACTGAAGCAGGTTGCTTTATTTTGGAGTGTAGCATACGAACTCCCCATCCCCGCCTAGCTCAAACATGCAGATTTTATGACAACTTTACAGAAAGCTACAACTGGAAGGAATGCCCAACCATTACAAAAAGTCTGCTACAGACTTACGATAATCATGTGTTTAAGTGATACTGAAAGGTCTGCTCCTACTTTACAGCTTAACACAAAATTAATGTCTTTATTAGCTGCAAGTGACAGGACTTAATAAAAACCCTTCAGAATTACCACTGGAATGTTTTGTTTACCCTCCCTGACATGCAGATATGTCCTATAAAAATCTTACAGCAGGTATATTCTTCTGAATTGATGTCACTGGACTCCTCACCACCAAGTGCGATGCAGAAGTTCAAACTGCTGTCACTGGCTGCAGCAGGACCTCTCATGAAATGGGTTTCACAGAAAACCTAGTCCAGGATAAACTGTTTGCTGGGCCACCTCGGAAACCATGACTCTGCTAATACAGCCTCGTCCTCCCCAACCCTCACTGCCCAGCTCTGACCGCACACGCTGCTGACACCCGCTGCCAGGAGCGGCCGTGCTGTGATACCCCTGGCGATTTCTGAGTTATGTTCTTAGATATCGTATGGCATGTTGGAAAAGCGATGGGGACACAAACCAACATATATATACGTATATATTTTTTTTAATTTAAACGCTGATGTACTTCAGAATCCATAACCACCACCCGGAGCCCTGCCTTGCTAAAAGACATTAAGGAGGAAAAAAAAAAAAAAAAAAAAAAAAAAAAAAGGATCCTGAAGTGCTGAGTCGGTGCAGCCGGCGGGCACGACCCCCAGCACATACGAGGCGGGCAGCCGGCACACCGCACCGCCCCTCCCCAGCCCTCCCAAGTTTTATCTTCCTCTGGCTCGCTCGCTCACGCCGGGCGCTTGGGAACGCTGAAGTTGTTCGGGGCGGGTTCCCCCCCCCACCCCAGGGGGTTACAGGGCCGGTTGGCAGCTGAGGGAAGCGGCGGCGTACTGCGGAGATCGGGGCCCCGCTGCGCCGGGGGGACCCGCGGGGGCCGGACCCAGCCGCGCCGCTGCTCCCCGGCAAACCGCGGGTAGGGCAGAGCGGGGCAGGCCCGGCCCGGCCACCGCCGCACGCCCCCTCCGCCGGCCGGCCCTGACTCCTTCGCCCTTACAAAGCAGCCAAGCCCGCTCCTTACATAACCGCAGCGGCCCCTGCGGGGAGGGGAGAGGGGGGTGCGGGCCCAGTGCCGGCCCGGCCGTACCTGATGTAGGGGCTGGCGGCCGCCAGGATGTTCTTCTGCACCGGGATCTCCTCCCCCTCCAGCACCAGGTGCGCGTCGCAGAAGCGGCTCTCCTCACGGAAGGAGCTGAGGGCCCGCAGCAGCCGCGCCGGGTGCTGGGGGTCCGACACGGCGCTCGGCCCCGACATGCTGCCGAGCCGAGCCGAGCCGAGCCGCGCCGGGCCGGCCGCCTCCCTCTCCCTGCCCTCACACCATGGCTGCCAGCCCGCCGCTGACATCATCTCCCTGCGCCGCCCCGCCCGGCCGCCGGCCTCCGCCTGAGGGGCGGCCCCGGCCCCGGCCCCCCCCCCCGGGCACCCGGCCCAGCCCGGGCGTGAGGGGGTGCTCGCTGGGGCTGCGGGTGGGCGACCCTCAACTCGGCATCGCCCGTGAAATTGTCTTTTTTTTTAACTATGTTTGGGGTGTCCCCCCCGGCTTTAAAGTGTGACTAAACCCAGCCTCTTATGTACTTAGTTTTTTTTACCCCCCCCTTACGTAAGTTGGAGGTGAAAATAATAGGCGTTAGCACGAGAAAAGGTCAGAGAATGGGAATTAAATACAGCGAGACTCGTTTCGGTCATACCACTGGAAATACACCCTTTTCAGGCAAAAATATTTTCTTCACAAGGTTTTAGGCCTTATATTTAACGTCCTTAATTGCACATTAAGAGATTAATTGATTCTATGTGCTGCTGTTTTCTTTAACAGCATCCAGTATTGAAGTAGCAAAACTATTTGCACCGAGTGGAAGTGTTTCACAAGCTGTGATCTACTTTACCGGCAATTCAGCCAGTGCTGCCAGGAGGGGGCAAACACAGTGGTTCACCGTGGCCCCTGCACTGACAGTCAAAAGCAGAATTGTGTTTCTTATGCTGTGAAACACCCAGAAGGACATCATGCTTTCTGTTTCTCCATGGGGTGAATAAAATTTTCTGAGGGCCTGATTTAGTAAGCTGTGGTGGGTGCTTTTATTATTTGCATTTCTTTAAATTGGTGATGTCAAGCATGATATTTAAAAATACGTACCTTTGAAATGCAGGCAACTTAGAATTTTATTTTATAATTCATCCTAGTCCAGTCTGATAGTGTCTCCAAATCGTTCTACTGCTAGGAAAAAAATAGAACAAAGGTATCTGGAAATGTCCCCATAGGAGAGATAAATGAATGACTTTATAAAGGCAACATTGTCCTTTCCAAGCTAGACACAATGCTGGTTTGTTCTCCAGCTGGAGATTTCAGCTGGGCCATCTGCACATGCAGACCCCAGCAGTCAAAACACTGCACCAAGGGCTTGCTTCTGCAGGGGGTGAATGGCCCCATTTCAGCCAGTGTTTACAGTTCAGCCCTTGCTTAAGCACTTTCTGTCTGCAGAGGGGTCGCACAGAGGAGTGCCATGGTCTAGGTTTGTTGTGCAGCTTTGAACAAGAGTTCTAGAAGAAGCAGAGGTTGTGTTTCACCCCCTGGTATGATGGAAGGCCTAAAAACATACTAATCTGCATGAAACACCAGCAACTTTGCATCACGTATTGTTATAACATACCCATTTGAAAATATTAGAAGGTCACTTCTTCTGGCTTGGGTATAATTATCCAGGGTGTCAAGTGTAGAATGAAGAAGAGCACAATAGATCCAGAGGACACATCCCCAGCTCTCTTTGAGGGTAATAAAAGCAGAGAGCGCTCTGCATCTTGACTGTGGGTAAAAGATGTATTTTGCTTGTCATTAATACTTTGGTAATTGCACACCCAAGGGAACAGTGGTGTAAATTATTGCGAAAGCTGTCATTGAGTGGCCTGGTTATTTAAAAACACTGGTTTGTTTCTGTGCCTCCTGCATGGATTGTTATGTAGGAAAACATAGTTGTATTTCTGGTTTTTAACTTGTCCTAGTAAACAGTGTTTCTGCTTCCTCCTGCTGCGTATGTGGGGCAATGGGACAAGGTGTAACAGGTAATATCCACTTCCAGAGAACAAATTAATTATTATGCTTTGTTATTTGTTCCATTTAATGAAATCTGTTGATAAAAAAAAAAAAAACATCCACCAAAAAACAAAAAAACAAACCACTCTACCAACTAGAGGTCCACATCTTTGAAGTAATTATATGTATGCATAGCCATGGCCTGATTCTCTTGCTCAACTATGTTTTTCTTTCTGTAATGGAGCTATCTATCCTTACTATTTTTATTTTCAGTCACTAAATCTAGATTATATTTTTTTATGCCATTACATTACCTCCACTAGTTTTACTAGGCTAATTTATGACTTTAAATGGTGCAAAAGAAGAATCTAACCTTTCTGTCCCTCAAGATTTCATTCACAGTGAAGGATGTCAGAAAAACAAACCAAATGACAGACTCATTACCATGTACCATGTTACCACAACAAAAAAAACCCACAGGCCTTGCAGCCACTTGGCAAAGCATATATGCATTCCCCCTTGTTATTGCCAGCCTAGAAATGATACAGTGTATTACCATATTCAGAGTAAATGTTTCATCAGATTACTATTGCAACTGCTAAAATCATTCTTGAACAAATTTGTGATTAGCCATATGGTTTTTTCCATATTGTCTCTGCCACAGGAGGGTACTGGAATTGGCAAATCCAGATTTACATCATTGTTTTTCTCTTCAGGTTGACTACAGATTTGATGCTAATCAAATCCTGTATAATACTGACCAAGGGAATATGGCACACTTAGTTTAAAAAATCATACGGAAGACAAGTTCTTATAATTTATTTTCCGCAGTATACATGAACATAAATAACATATTTGCTATCTTGAACTGCAGACAACAGATCTTTTTTTTTTTTTTTTTTTCTATGATGAATAATATTCCCCCATCAGGTCATCTCTGCCAGTAAGTTAGCCCCTCAGTAACCAAGTACCTCCTGTACACAACCTCATGATCAACTTAAAACATAACACTATGAATTCCACAGAAGAAATTCTGGAGAAAAACTCTTGAAAGGAGATCTATGATAATGGTTAGACTTTTGATTCATTACCACTTTATCATTCCAGAGATATTTGTGGAGACTTGTTAAATCCAAACTTTTTCAGATTAAAAGAAACAATCTCACAGCTGGTGTCCTTTGCCAACATCAGGAATCAGTCTTCTATTCCAGTTCCATATTACTTACAAAAATGGAGTTTAGTTTCTTCTTTAGAAGATAAAGTTCTCTTAAATAGTAGAGGTGATATGCCTTGAAAACACTAAAGATGATTATTGCTGCAGACACGCTTTACGGAAGTGTTTATTTCCATTTTATGGAATATATAAACATTTGAATGCCCGAAACTGCATTATTTTAACTCTAGATCTGACCACAGTGACTTTTTTTTTTTTTACATTACAAATAGCCACTATATTCCTTATACTTACAAACTGCAAAGGCTTAAACAGAGAAAGGGAGGTATAGCTGTTGCAGAGTGAACAAGCAGTGTGGATGGTGTTGGTTCAGTTCCTGCTCTGCCGTAAACAGCTTACGTAATCACGAACAAGTCACCAAAGCCCAGATTCTCATGTGATGGGGAGATAGTAAATGACAATTATTTAATTCTTTTTCATACCTGTAAAACACAGTGAGCAGCAGAGACACCATAAGAGTGCATATATAAAAGAGTGAGAGATACCTGAGTAGTGTGGTGATATGTACGGATCAGATGAACTCCTAAAATGGATGGCTGTACACCTAATTTTCTCCATCAGTAAAGACACCTCCAACAGTAAAGGTAGCTACAATAGGAAAATATAATTCAAAGGAAAAAAATCTCTCATTTAAAGAAAAATCAATGCCCCAAATCTGAAAACAGAAATACACTCCGAGGATTAGGAAATGCCACTCCTATAACAAAAAACTGTCACGGTATACTTGATATTTGAACTGTATGTTGAAACATGTTTTTTAATTGTGACTATGAATGAGAGTTGTGTGCTTTTATTGGGAAGCATCTGTTACAGGCAATGATAAACCCATGTCAGAACATGGATGCTTCTAAGCAAACAATAAAGCAAATGCTTCGCTATAGCAACGATAGCTTGTAGTTTCAGCTACAGTGTAGTTCGTATGAGGTCTAAATTAGGTCTTTCACATTTTTACCTAAACAGTTTGTTGAACATGTGCATCTGAGTTCTGCTAGAAATATACTGCTCTCATTCATACACATGCTGTTATTAGCAGAGACTAGTAGCATTATTAATAAATACTACATTTCTGGTTATTTTTTACACAACATAATAATCTAATTACATGAAAAGTCATGTCACATATTATCCTCAAGGAAAACTGATTTAAATGCAAAATTGAACAGTACTAAAGTCTAATTGAATGTTACAAAAAAACATATTCTATTTCCATATATTCTATTTCAAGTTACTTGTTTTCATCAACATAAAAGGGAAAAATACACCACAAAATTATTAGCAATGCAAGTTTTTTAGGTTCTAGATTAGAAAGTTGTAGCACCTTAATGTAATGCTTTGGTTCTGGTGGGGTTTAAGAAAGCAAGCACCAAGAGAATGCATTACCATGAATCATTAGTATCATAGCAGATAGTTTAATAAGAGGTTTTCTGGCAGGAGACAACTTTCATCATGAGCTGTAGTCTTGAAACAGTCCAGGAAAGCTACATGACCTGAAGACATATGTGACTCATACCATACATCACCCTATAAATACAGTCCTTGATTTGTTCAGAAAGCTATATTCTACTCAAGTAAAGCATAGACAGTGTCACCCTCTACATCAACCACCAGCTGGAGTGCAGGGAGCTCTGCCTGGGGATGGGTGAGGAGCTGCCCCAGAGCTTGTGGGTCAGGAATAAAGGGAAGGCAGGGACAGGTGACATTATACTGGGGGTCTGCTACAGGCCACCTGACCAGGAAGACTGAGCAGATGAGGCCGTCTATAGACAAATAGGAGCAGCTTCATGTTCACAAGCCCTGGTCCTCATGGGGGACTTCAACCACCCCAATATCTGTTGGAGGGACAACACAGCAGGGCATAAGCAATCCAGGAGGTTCCTGGGATGCACTGATGATAACTTCCTTTTCCAAGCGCTAGAGGAGCCAACAAGGAGAGGTGCTATGCTGAACCTTGTTATTGCTATCTCTTGTAAGAGATTATATATAGTTATTGAAGAGATACTATTTAGTCATTTCTTGTCATAAGGTAAAGTTGTTCCTGAATGATGTTATCCCACACTCAGTGTAAGGTTGTCTCAGTCTGTGTAATAGGATAAATAGCATTTTACTCAGTCTCAGTCTCAGTCTTCAAATCTTTCTCTGGTATAAACATTCCATGCAGGTCCAGATGCATTTCTACATCTACTGTGGCTCGGCCCAATTCTTTTAATGTTTTAGCATCCAGAACAAGTAGGAAGGGTGCTTGCTTTGGATCAGATGTCACAACACAGGTTAGAACAACACCTATGACATACAAATGGAGAATTAAGACCATACTAGTTACACCAAGCAGAAAAGATAGAACTGTCAGGAAAGAATTCTTGTTTCCTAAGCATTCTAGGACACAAACGGAATGTGCTTACTGGATCAAGAAGTCTATCGAGTGTGCTAAAGAACTAATGAACAATCCCCTCCTGTGCCTTTCTCTGGTCTGTCTGCAGTTCACTGGGAAAGAAAAAAGCAAACCAGCACTGAACTGTGTGCCTGGAAGTACTGGGATTCATCCTTTCAGCTATTTGCCATTTACCTTTGCAAGGAGTCATCTGAAAACAGAACTGGATCAAGATTACAGGGATACTTACAGTGCTACTTCACGTTCCCATCTATAACAACACTGACTTCCCACAGCTTCAGCTGCTCCAAACTATTGATAAATCCATCTCCGAGTGGCTCTCTGGAAAGCCCTAAGCATTGGGTTTATTGTTTATGGCTACCTTGGGACATTACACAAGCCGATTTTAGTCTATTGTTGCTTTGGGATTTTGTCTGTAGGAGTAAAATGGCTGGTGCTAATTTTAATATCACAGTGGAAGCATCAACCAGATTTCTTGACTAAGAACAATGAAACTCGTAATATTTAATGCAAAACTTATGTAACCCCAGATTTCAGAATATTGTCATTATTTTACCATCATCCTCTTCTCTTGCATCAGGGCTGGGAACGAAAATGGGCTCAGATGGCCAACAGCGGTCCTCTCCCCAGTAGAGCATTTCCTTTGTCTGGATATTAAATTTTACAATCTAAATTGTTATGACCGGAAAAGAAAAATGTCAGTGACCCAGACAGTGGTTTATTCCAAAGGTACAACATGAACAGACTGCTGACATGGGGGACCAATGCTAAGAGTTAAGGAGCAACAAGGCATGTGTCATCACAGGAAGGAAGCACGTGGAAAATGTTAAACATTGGTGTCACATTTAGTGGCTGCATAATCACACAATGTTCTTTTCATTTCATTTCTTTAGATTGCAGTTACACCTTTCACTTATGGGCTTTAAGGATTTTACAAATACTAATGGAACATGAGAGAACCTTCACTATAAATAATGCCCTCGCTATACAGAGCAAGAGTTCGAGGCCCAGAACACGTGACTTGTGCCAAATCACTGCAATTCTGTAGTAAAGCAGTAAACAGGATTTAAACCTTCCATTTTCTAATCCTGTGAATTATTTTCCTTTTATTGTGACCTCAATATTTCTCAAGGCCTTCTATTGTTAAGTAGGGTATATATGCCAGAACAAAGGCTAATAGTGACGTGTAAAGATTAAACCAATAGGGCAAGAATTCCACACAGATACTGGCATTTACTGAAGGAACAGAGTACAGATTTTCATCTCATTAATGAGTTAAGGGCCTGACCAAACCAAGTGCCAGTGGGGATGCATGGCATTTTCAGTTCAATTCTATTAAGACATTTTCTCTACCCATACAGATGCAGTTATGTTCTTTTCCCTTTTGACCTTTAGTCAAAAAATATGTTTACACAAAAATGAAACTATTCAAATTACTAGAGGAAGAATTTTGAGAATTATCCCTTGTAACCAAGATGACAGCAATTTCGCTGACAGACTTTACCTAAGGATTATACACACTGGTTGTCGTGCCTGTGTTCATTAAAGAGCAACTAATGTGAAAATTAAAAAATCTTCTAGCAGAATTTTTTATTATATTTAAGTCAAGCAGGGATTATCTACACTGGAAATCACAAACTTGCAGATTTGTTTGAGCTATTGGCAGATGTGTTGCAATAAATTTTCTTGTATCATGCAGAAATCCAGCTATATTTTGTAATCAGTTGTGGTAATTATATACAAGGACCAACAGTAAACTCAATTTGTGCTGCCTTATAGTTACAGAACAAGAACTGTAAACAGTGAGTTTGTCTGTACAAGACTCTTACCTTCAGCTATTAATACTTTCCATCTTAATCTATTTATACTCTAGGCTGTCTCCTGAAAAGTTGGCATCATGCATACACAAATGAAGCATTTGTTACACTCTAAATACCAAACTAGCAAGCAAAAGATAAAGCTTTCTGAAAAATTAGATATTGTTTTAATATTTTTAATTGATTAGATACTGTTGCAATAGCTTATTTTTTTAGTTATGTTTCCTAAAGGGAAAAAATATTACAGATGTATGTCTGTTTAGTACTTCTTTTTCCTACTCTCTCCTTTGTAGCTCTTGGCACATTACAGTAGTTCTGCCCAATTTGGCAGAAAAGTGAGAGTCTCAGTAACTATTGTATTCAAGAGAATTTCTGGAAATATAAAGCTGGATAAAGAAGCCTGAGTTTATTAATATTTATGAGGGAAATGATACAGCATTAGTTCACCCTTATAAGAATTCAGGCATTTCATGTTTCTTAGCATGTGAATGACCCACCAATGGGAAAAGTTTAGACAGAAACATATAAACTATTGAATATTTGAGAATCCAATCTCAAGTCACATCTGTAAGAAAGTGTTTGTTCTGGTGCCTATGGAACTACGTGTTTTTAACAGCTCATAATAATGTTCCAGATTTTCAACTAATAAAATGAAGACAAATTGTTTCCATAGTTTGGCCCGGTGAGGCTGTTTTAATCATACAAGTAAGCTACATATACTTCCAACTTTTCATCTCCCTGCTTTGAGGTGCTGCAGTTTACGAACATAGTACCCAACTGCAGTATCGTCATTTAGAAGCTTTAACTTGATGTTGAAAAAAAGAGTTCATTTTCTGGCCTTAGAACCACACACTGAATTTGTATGTATGAATGCACATTAGGCGATATTTTGGGCCAAACTAGTAAAGCATGGTCTACTTAAAACTGATTAAATTTGATTTGTGTTCTATAAATACAGTTTCTGACTTTGTAAATGCTAATTATACCTGTGTAGGAACTGGACTCCACTGGACTTCTGTTGCAAAGATGTACTTGTATTTCTGGCCATTATAGTCATAGTTGATGCGAGGCAGTTCTATCGCTGGATAAAATAAAGTTCAAGACTTAGGAACAAGAGAAGAAAAGTAACTCAAATGTACATTTACATATGCCAATCTTCAGGTAGTTTTGCTCTGCGAAAAACCTTGATAGTATTTAAAACAGGTGTTGCATAGATTTTTTATGCCTGAATTTCTAAAAAGCTGAAGATGGATATTAACACAACATAATTAATCCAGAGTTGTTTGTTAGTTCAAATGTTAGTGCAAAAATGATAATTTTTCATTCTTAGGGATTCATTATACTGGAATTTATGAGGGTTCTTTTTTTTTTTTTTTCTTCATAAATGCATGAGACGTGAACATCTGAGATATAATTGGAGGTGATCATTCTAAGAAATTAGATTCACTTTAGGTAAATATATACTGTTTACATATTCCTGTTATTATCCCCTGAAAAAAAGTTTTAAAATCCACTTTCAAAGGCAATCTTTATAAAATACAGCAATAACTGAAGTTACTATTTATAACTGACCTATTTAACTAAAATTACTCTTGTAGATTTGCAAGCCATATTAATAAGATTAATCATAAGATCAGACTTGGGATCCTATATTACTATAACACTGATGTAACTGCAGATATTTAAAGGGTTTCACTCTTGATAAATATGTATCTGAGACGTTCAGGGTCATATATTCCTGGATAGACCCAGAGGAGGGAAGTAAAGAGAAATATATTGAAAATATCTGCAGTAAACATATTAATTAAAAGTTTTGTTTCTCTTAGCTTTATAAAGATCTTACATATATCAACAGCTATTAGGCATTATTAGAATGCACCTATGTGTGTGTTAGAGAACATATCTGAGATTTGTATAATGGATATGTCTCACCTTCACATAGTATTTCAGGTTGGCAATAGATGCTGCCATCTTTCTCTTTTACAGCAGTTGAGGTAGATGGAAGTGTGACTAAATTAGAACCTACTTCAGCATCCTGCAAGAGATATATAATAAAAAAGTAATGTGTCTGTAAGAATATGCTTCTAAATTAGATCTTTTACCAGGTTTTATATTAATATAGACAATTATGGGTTTAAACAAATAAACCAGCTTCAAGAAGTTCCTTTTTATGGCATTTATCTTGTAACATTAGATTCTGACCTTTTCATTAGAAATCTTGTTATATTCAGAGGATTTTAATATATTGTAGATTAATAATTTTGAATCATTCTGAGCCTTTAGAAATGTTTAAATAGATATGGCTACATTGCAGAAGCACAATAAATGGATTACATATTTTGTGAATTTAATTAATGAAGATGGGTTTCCAGGAATTAGATATTGAATTCCCACTAAAAGTCACGAAGGTTAGGTTTTTTGCACCTGCTATAAATCAAGTGCAAAAATAGGTGTAATGCACTCTTGTTTTTAATACACTATTGTTGAATTCTTAAGATTTCAGGGTAGTTAGGATAGCTGGTGTGATCCAACACATCCTTTGTCATTGCTGCATAGCTGTTTTTGAGGCATGAACAAAGCAGCAAGGTTCTAGGATGTAGAAAGGAAAAGTATTATCCATTCCAAATGTATCAGGCAGAAACTTGTTCAAGTTGCTGGGCAGTATAAAACCTTCCCTGCAAACAATGATCTAAAATGATGTTTTGAATTAAACTGAAAGATAAAATCTTCCCTCTTCCCAGTAAATCTCACACTTAAATAAAATCTTCTAATCTTAATAAAACCATTGCAACAGTTGGGAGTGTGCGCATAATATATATAGGCTTCCAGTAAAGTGGAAGAAACAGATTGTACAAAACCTCATGCATGCCCTTCCAGTCAACAGCGAAATTGATATATCTGCTTGTATTTGATAGCATTTTACAAATAATCTCACTGGTAAGGAAATTATGTATGCTCCATAGCCATGTTCTCCATAAAGGATGGTATTAGAACCTAGATCCATGTAACTGCATGCCCAGCTGCTTGCTCATTGCCATTTCTCACAATACGTACACAAAACAAAACTCCTGCACACTTTGTGAATATGTTATTTTAAAAGAATTAGACATTTGCATGTAAGGGCTGGCAACTAATAATTCATCCATAATTCACACTGATGTATTTTAAATTACTGATTAAAGTACAGATTAAAAAGCCAGTTTCTCTCTACCTTGTCATACTGTAGAGGAACAACAAACCGTTTGCAGGTTGGTATGGAGGTAAGCTTGTTGTTCTCTTCAGTGTCCTTACTCAGGTTTTTAAAATAGAACGTATCATATAAGCTATTGTCTGTGTAGGCAATAATATCAAAAATAATGTGGCCATCCTCTTCATAAGCATTTACATGGTGAAAAAGCACCATAGCATCAGTATAAAACTTGGTGGTTACTTCCTTTTTAGTCTTCTTGTCTACAAAGTGAAACCAAGTCTGAAAGATAAGAAATATTATTTAAAACCATTAATGATCAGCAAATCGTTAGTTAAGAAACCATTTTTATTGATAGCCGTCAACAATCTAATGCACTGTCTGTTTCTACTGAAGCATATTAAGAATTCAGGATTTGCTGCTAGGAGACAAGAGGTTCCAGAGTAAAATGAGTGTGGAAATGCTTTAAACTCATTTTACTGTTACAAATTACAATTTGGGCCAGGCTGAGGATTGGAGCTTTATGGTAAAATCTGGAAAATAATCTGCTCTATTTTTAAATTCAATAAATCTGTTGTAGTCCAGAGTCTTTGTACTGCTCTGTGCTGGTGCCCTTTACTCCAGCATGCCCCACTTATTGATGGCCAGAGCACATGGAAATAAGGTCCTCAGAAAACTGGTTGTTTCCTCAGTTGCCACAGTGAAAGATTCTCCTTTCACTGGATGCAGACTTCTTCACCAGTCTGGCTGTCCTATCTCATGCAATGGATCTAGAACAGATCTTATCCACAATATACAGTATTTTGTTTGGACCAGGAGCAACTGTATGTGTCTGGAATGCTAGTGCTGTTTTGAATTTCTCTTCTAGCACACAGTATTTCTAACAATGCCAAACTATCCCCTTTCTCAAGCACTTCAGCATCAGATATTTATTTGTGAAATTTCTGGAGATAGGAGATAGTATTAAAAAAAAAACAACTTCCAAAAAAATGTGCAACATGAAAGTCAAGGGTTGAAAAAAAATGAGGGATTATTAAAATTAATGAACCAGATTAAAACAGAACAGTGTGGAAGAGGTCACTGGCCTGGCTGACCCCCTTGTTCAGCATTAAGAAAAATACCTTATCTTCCTTATGATAGGCAAGGCAGGAAGCCCAGTTCACACCTCGGATGTAAGCAGTTGCCATTTTGACAATATCCAGTTTGAATGGCTGCTCTATGAAGATAATGTAATTTTCTGTGATTCCAAAGCTATGGTAGTAGCTTGGGTGGAGCAGAGAGCGAGAAGGGATGGAGCATACCACTTCCAGATGTTTAAGACAAGATTTCTTCTTTTCTTTTTCTAAACATACATGATAAAAAATAAAATTATAATAAATTCCAATCAAATCTTGTGCTTGGATTTGTTCCATGTATGAAGTAGGAAGGAACAGGTTCCTCTCAGTTTTATTTGCATTTTCCTGGCAAGAAAGTGGCTTGTTTCCTCCTGCAGAACTAACAGAAGTTTGCATCTGAGTGAAGCAATGGAATATCACAATGCTGGATCCACTTATACAGAGTCCCCTTGTCTTAATATTTGATTCCACTGGTTACTGTCTTCAGAAGTTCCAGCACAGAGGAGAAAGATGTTCAATTAAATTGGCAGCTTTACAAGGTGGTTCAATTGCCCTCATGTTTTTGAACTTCAAAAGAGATGTTCCTATTTGATCTATACTGACTTTGTTTGAGCCCTAGCTAGAAATTACAAACTTATCTTCCAGTTATGGAAGGTCTCTTGATTGTTCAACCAAGAGGACAGACATCACATTAGCAGCTGATTTTAAAGACCACCACAAAAAAAAAAAGATTGTCTTGAAGGAAAAAGAGCAAGTGATTTGCTCTGTGAACAAGGGACAGTATTTCAGAAGGCCTAGTGTAGGCCAAGTTAGAGAGAAATTATCTCTTTATTAGATATTATTTGGTATTATGCTTTTCTATAATCACAGTATCATCATTTTAAGAGCATTTTAATTTATGAAGAAAATTAAAATTTACAACTTCAAATTATATATACTGCCCTATAGATAAAATTGTTTCTGTTCATAGTCTCTTTACACATCACAATACAGGGAATGGACATTATTCTAAAAGAGTTCATTCACTATAGTAATATTCAAAGTAGAATTCTTTTAAAATAAAATTCTTCTAAAAGCAAGGTTTTTCATACTGAAATACTCTGTTTACATAGTATTCAAGATAAACCTTTGTAACAGCACATGCTCAGACAGGCTAAGCAGTTAACATTAAGTTCACAATAAGTTAAAATTAAGAAAATGAACACCATCGGTTTCTAGAAGAGTTGTATCACCACCCCTTAACCTCAGAAGAAAAGAAATTGCTAACAGGTATCTGTAAAATACTGATAAAAGGCATATCTTACTTGGCACAGAAGAAGGAATCTTAAATAAAATGTATTTTGTCTTCCCTTTATCAACTATTGAAGTACCCATGTTGAGAATATTTCCAGCACTGTCATAGTGCGGGTGAGAAGTTGCCATGTTTACAGCTACATATTTGCTGTAGTCAACCTGGAAAATGATACAGTAGGAGATTTTAGAGATGTGTAAAAGAATTAAACTTGATCTCAGCTAACACCAAAAATCCACCAGATTTTTAGCACTGACAGCCTTTTATTGGTACCTCATTTTCAAAAGGCCTTGAAATTTAAACAATTAAGCCAAATGACTTACATAGGTACTCAAATGATTTCCTAATTCAAGGCTAAAACAAGTTACAGAATCTGAATTACATTCACCTCTCCCTTGCAGCCATGTAACATGGGAGGATTGGCTAAAGAAGATACTCTGCAAATGCCCATTTCATCCTGAAAGTAGTTTATTTAATAGGGCTGTAAGTCTAGCAATCCTCTGGAGCAAAAAGATTTCTGTTTGATTTAAAGTTTGGAATTTGTACTCAAACTGTACTGCATGCTAGAAAACCTTCATGTACATTTCAAGATGTCAAAATTTCATTTTAATAATTAATATCTTGCATAAGGTACTAGAAAGGCACTCATATAACTGACCTACTGATTTGTTAACTGTGTAAATCACTTGATAACTACAGATGCATAACAATGGAAATCATCCAAAATAATCATGTCATAAGCATGATATGTGGTATTATTCCTGCAACGTTGATAGATTATGTACAAGTGAAATTGCTCAAAGCCCAGCTTTTCCCAAACTACCTGGGATTTCATTTTGATCTGTTATCTCCACTATTTCACTTTCCCCTGATTTCAGAAGGGAATAGTAGAAGAAGAAAAACATCTTTCCAGTTCTGCGTCCTGTACATATTAAAGGATCCTTATGAGTCAGCCTGAAACTTTATTCATTAGCAGATGAGGAACCAGAATGACACAGTCATTTATACCTTCTCTAATGTCTCCAGAGTCTGTGGATTAATTTTTCTGATGAAGTTGGTCTCGCTGGTAGCATAAAAATCATCCCCAGTTTTCATGATGTTGATCAGGCAGTTGTCTGTGAACTCAGGAATGGTGTGAGACAAATATGAGAACGCCCTGTACAGAGGAAAATTTTGTACCAGCTCATTAGCGCAGCAGAGGCTGTACTCTTTTACTCCATGCAAAGCAGAAGTGACCCGAGCAGTGCGGGCCATACACAGCAGCAGGGTCACCGGGGCTGGGTCTGCCTCTCCCCTGCTGAGCCCTCTTCTGGCATCTCCCGCGCTGCCTCGCTGGAAAGGGTGGAAAAGCAGCAGAGATGGACTTCTTCATCACCCTTGGCCTGGGCGGGGGTTGAGGACGTGCATGCAACAGTTTGTCCATGCACAAATGGGCATCCAGGCCCAGTCCTGCTGTCAGCTGTAAAATATGCACTGGTTTATCAGGATGGGCTAATTACACAGTCTCCCATGCATACCTTGTGAAAATTTGGCCTAACAGTTTCTACCTAAAAGCTGGTAGGTTTTTCAGTGTATGCCTTCATAAAACAGATGGATTCATATACTCCCTGATGGAATATTTTAATTCCTGGTGTTATCCCATATCACAATTATGATTTCAAAGAAGATCCAACTTCACATATGGACTTGACAGTTTTCCTTTTGAGTTTAGGATTTTATCATATTCACTTGAAGCCAAGACAAAGTTGCTTATATCCCTTTTGAACTTAAAATGGCAGTGTTACCCTATCACTTCTGGAAGAGGGAAGAAAAGCATCTTATCTCAGGGTAACAACTGACAACATGTCAACTACTTTGCAATAACTCCATGCATGTGCTCTTAGCAAATATCAAATTCAAGGTCATTAGAAGTAGTTCAGCCAGGAAGAGATGGGTGAGCTATTTGCATTTGTTAGGAAATACCCACAGCCAATTTTACAGGACAGGTGATAACATGACTGTTTACACCTTGCCTTTCATATACAGCCTATCATCCTTGCTAACAGTATGAAAGCAGCTTTTGTAGTGATCTCAAGTGGTTCTGATTTTGAACATAAGATTAGCTCAGGCCTGGGGTATAGACCTTCAAAGCACTGCACCTGACTCAAGAAACAATTGAAATTTTTCATCACTTGGGGTTTTTTTTTTTGGTAAAAATGGTCTTTAATCCAGAAGTTCTTATAATTTTATTTCAGTTATTGATGCTTTTCTTCTTTTTGTTGAATAAACTTTGCATAAATGTCTTCCCCATCTCTTAATCTTTTACTTTCTTGTTGCTTCTCCCCTTACAGAGTATCATTTTTATAAAGTTCTGTGAAACACTTGAAAAAGAAAATATTTGTTTTTTCAAAATTACAATAAAATCTACTTGCGATAGTGAATAAAACAGCCAATATTGCTGATAAAATTAATTTTAAATATTTGCCTTAGAATAATCCGTATAGAGTACAGTGCTGGATATATCTCTTGGCCTTTTCAATATTTAGCAATTGTAAATTTACAAAACAAATTCTGTATTTGTAAATATGTGTCAAGGGTAAACAGAAAGACATCTGTGCTGGAGAGAGAAGTAGACAGAAGAATCTTGTTGGAAAAAGCATTGCTTACTTGGCAAATATGTTTTTGCATGGATCTGGATAAGCCATAGTTCCAAATTCAGACACCACAATTCGGTTTGCTTCTATATTGCAGTTGTATGTGTCACTTCGGAGATACTTACTTCTGTAGTAAACTTCACCTGACAAGGGCCAAACAGGTTTCAATCACATTTCATACTGAGTTTTTTAGAAAATTAGTATAGGTAAAGTCAGAGAAAGAGTTTCTGAAGCAGCTGTCCTTTAGCTAAGAAAAGTTTGCAGTGAAACCAACAATGCCCCTAAATCCCTGTTTTGGAAGGCTTCTTCAGCTCCCTAAGGAACCCAGGAGTGTTCTTGTGGCTGCTGAGACTGGTAACAATTTGTTTAGCTTCCTTGACTCCCAACACATTTGGACAACACTAGTGGACTGGGGAGAGGAAAGGAGGGATTTGGATAAACAATTCCAGTAATCCAAAACAATCTGTGTAAAAATGACTAAATATACATCAATGTGTGGGTGGTGATAAATCTCCTGTATTGGCAAAATTTAGTTAAGAAAGAGTAACAAATTGCTTGAAGGAATCAATGTCTTTCCTAAACAATTTATTGGACCACTATACTTGAACTAGCTGAGCTCTTTTTGATTTAGGTAAGTAAAATATAATGACCATTTAATAAACACTTGTCATTTCTTTATAGGATATTTTGTTAAGAATGTAGAGCTGGACAGGCAAGGACATCCTGCAGTTGAATTAAATGCTTTCAATTACTGAAACAGAAACTAAAAATTAAACATCGGCAATGGTGGATGACAGGAGTAAAACCCAGTTCTTACACAGATACATACTTTTTGCAGCAAGAATCTAGGTGTAGAACATCCTGCCTCAAACTGTAAAACAGCTGAATGGATAAAAAATGCTTTAATTAAAAACAAAAAATGAAATTGTTTTGGATAGAGGAGCTGCCTGTTTTCCCTCCATAAGGATGACAAGTAGGAGGACTGCTTGTAGGGATGTCAAGTACACATATGTGAGGTTTGATATTTGAAGTGACACAGTGGCCCAGTTTCTGTCCTGGCAGCTGTTATAGCTGCAACCAAACCCCAAAAGGGAAATGCTAGTCTTCCCTGAAACTAGGTTGTTCATCCACAACAGAAAAACCTCTGGATATTACAGTACTTTTGGTTGATCCAGTTTGAAAAAAATAGAGGTTTTCTTGCTCTGGGTAGAAGGCAAAAGCCACCCTGCAGTGACCTGCTCGGAGTTGGTTGCAGGCTATCCTGCAGTGCAGACAATATTGAACTTTGGCACTCCAGAAAATAAAACAATATCATCTATCTCTGATAACAGCCCTGCTGCTGCTGTGAAGGGTGAGGTGGGAGGGTATGTTTGGAGAGACCTTCCCCAAAGTGGGTACCACCTCACCACACATCCCACTCAGCAGACTGAAATTTGCAACATTCTAACGCTAATCAAAACGGAATTAGCAATATAAGGCGCCAAGATTTAGGATGTTGAGCTCTTTTTAATCTAATGTGCAACAACTTACCATTTTTAAATGTAAAACTGTGCAGCAGAGCCAAGCCATCAAACCAGTGGTTATACTTGGTGTCCCCTATTGTGTGAATCCCTGGGCCATTGCGGAGAAGTATCCCTTGCAACCAAGCGGGCAACTGACCTATAAACAAAAAGGCGATACCAATATCCATTCAATTAGGTGAGGGGCATGTTACAGGACAATTTTCCTAAGGGCATAGGCTTCATATAGGCAGACAGACTATCGGTGTGTCAAGATTTGTAATAGCATATAGTTATGTTGGAGTTTGAGTTAGTTAAAATATTATGTGCTCAAAAATGGGGCATTAGTACTATTCTGCATGAATATTGCTATATGAGATTACTATAAAACCATGAGATTGATGGAAAGTAATTTGCTAAATATCAGGAAGTAAATAAAGTTGGACCTTTCTTTCCTGCACTCAGATTTTAAAGTGATACATTTAAACCCTTTTACTCATGCCAGGAAAAGCTATTTCATAGGTTCTATGACTTCAGGCTAAATAAATTCCAGTAAAAATTTCATTAATTAAATTACATAGCATAATATAGTGCCATCTTGGGAGTGCTTTTGTGACACTAGTGATAACATAGGTGTTTTGAACACAAACAAAAGGTAGGAATATTATATTGAAAATATATAAGTATTGTTGAGGTTTCAATAGGAAATGTTCCTCATCTAATCCCTGCAAGAAATACATTACCTACCATTTGACATACAGAATAACAACAATTAAATAATGTCATCGAAGTTAAAAAGCTGAACAAAAGCATATCAGATATTAAATTAAAAGCTTCACTTTCTTCTTTGTGCGTATGCCTCCTAAGGGAACATTTAAGATCACATACTACTTTCCCGCACAACTCCTGCACAGAACATTGTCTGCATAAAAAGCTATTCAAAACTTTTAATTTTTCTTACCATTTAGTTTGTGACCCTATGTCGAATATGTTAACACACTTTCTTATTAATAATCCCATTATAACAGATAGAAATGTCCACTACAAATACTCAATTTTGTCAAAGTTGATGCAGTTGCAGAGAGGTAACAATTGTTTTGCTGTAAGAATTCTTGAGATCCTAAAGGGACTTTGGCCACTTTCTAAGAGAATATTTCTTCAATTTTGACCTTTAGCTAAGGGAAACAAGGGCATTTGCCACTTCTTCAAACAAATTACATTAAGGACACAAGGGAAAACCATCCAAATGCAATGTTAGGATATGGAGTAAATGTCAGCTTTACCTAAAATATATTCTCAGTCAGGATAACGATCTAATATTGTATGCCACAATATACACACAACTTCATTAGGGTTACAGTTCTGGAACACATGAGGAAGATAAAAAATTGTTGATGCAATGGACTTTATTATTATTATTATTATTATTACATTCTAGAAGAGCCTTGAAAACCAAACCTACTTGCCTTTCTAATACAAGAAGTTCCAATACAATATTTATAGTACTTTTTTTGTATAAAATGAACAAGGTTTAACCTTTAATGCAGATAACTGCACAAAACTTGAGTATCTAAAAATATTGTTGGTTAGAAGACAGTGAGGAAATCACAAGTTAGCAAAAGAAAAGAATCCTTCAGAGAGAATAGGATTATGATCTTAAGAAAGTATATATTCAAAATAGATACATAATTTTTGTTTGGCTGACTATTGAACGTTAATAGCTGAACAAGTTTAGTCTGCTTATATGCCTAAAATACAAGTGTTTCTCTTGCCGCTTCCCTTTCTGCAGTTTTCTGTTATTTGGCAATAGAAGATTGCAGGCTCTGCTATTTCTCCAATTTTGTAGGCAACTGCAGTGTAGTGAGTGTAGTATATTCTGTGCTCCTACTCGCCTACCAATGCCATTTGTGATTGTAAATCTGTGCAATGAGCCTGGGCTGCAACCAACTTTTTGCTAACACTGAGCTGGGGCTGACTGCATGCGGTCTTGCTGCAACCAGCCCTTCTTTCCCTGCAGTGAAAATGTAATACTGCTGCTGTATATGAGGTCTTGTGAGATTTTGGCCCAGTAAAACTCTCTTCTGCTTTGGGGCCCATAAATCAAGACAAGCAGGTATTTGTGCAATTCAGTGAACATCTTGCAGCTCCTAGGGCTAAACATTTTGTTTAGACATTATTCCTCTATCTCCGAATGAAGATGCTCAAAAAGCTCCAGGACAGGCCAGTGAAATAATTTAACTGGAAGAAATAAAAAGAGATAAAAGGGGATCTTCTTTTTAAGGCACTGTGGACTTGATGCAGCTTCTGAAACTTCTGCTGTAATTCAGTGTAATTTCTGGCATAATTCCAGTATGAAAAGCAAAGGGTCATCTAGTGAGGTTTTCAGACAAAAATTCATCTTAGTGGGAATTAAGAATTTCTGTAAATCACACTGGCTACCAATCAGTATCCTAAAGAGCTTAAATAGCTTTATAAATCTGGACCTTGTATCTTTTTTGCTTTAGACTTTTTATCTGAAGTAGAAATAATGATAATTTTCTGTACCACATGAGGACACAAAAGTGACATGGTAAAATCTCCAAATATTTGGAAATTTATTAACTATCATAGCAACCGAGTCTTATACAGTGACATGGCTGTACAGTGTTTAGGAGAGCACAGGTTATATTACGGTTTACGTTAGAAGTATGGGTGATATTTACAGTGTACATATTGAGTAACAAGGAGCCAAAATACTGGCAGAGCTCAGGGCTAGCAAAATATTTAAGGAGGTCAAAATTTTCTTTAGTTTTCATAATTGGTAAATACTGAATCATCATTACCACTGAAGGAATATTTTATATACATGATTTTATTTACTGAAATATGCAGTCTTTGTTCAAATAAGCCATTCCATAACACAGATCAGGTCTGATAAATTTATTTTTTTTTTTTATTTTTTGCAGAACAGCTTCAGACACTTCAATAATAAGTTTTTATCTTGAGAAAAAAAAATATTGAAAGGCATAAACCCACTGCAAATTATAACAAAGCAATTTGTCTGACTTGAAGCAAAATCTTTTGAATTCAGCCACCAAATTGAACAACAACAAAGTCATGCAAGTGTTAATTGTCATCTTTTTAAGTGTTGTACTTTAAAATTGGTATTAGATGCCGTTCATTTCTTGGACTACATATTACAAACAATGCAGCATATGTTTACTAAACAGGGGTTCTCAACAACAAATCTCTCCTGTACCTGTAGCAAAAACCTCATCTGTAAAGTAAAAAAAGCCATAAAAATAATAGACTGATCAAGCATTCATCCCTAGGGAGACTCTTGAATCTATCCTGCTGAAGGATACACCGCAATTTTTACTGGATTAACTTCTGAACCCTCTTTTTAACAGCACACAGTGGCAGCCATTCCTGCTGCTTTTCTACTTAGAAATACGATTGTTGGAGCCAATTTTAGTGACTTTCTCCAGGAGACAAGGAAGACTGAGCAGCCAGAGGGAGGGTAGGGAAGGGTTACAGAGCGGAAACTAAAAGCCTGAGCAGAGCCATGGGGGAGGGGATGTCACCAGATTAAATCCCGAGACTTCCTCCCTCACCACCAATTTCAGTGAATCCTGTTCAAACAGACATTTTGGAAAAGTACACAGAAATACCCATAAAGTGAGAAAAATCCCACAGTCAGAGGACAAATATTATCTGAGATCAATCCTTTAAACAAAGTTCACTTAGTTTCTCGTTTTCTCAGTTTCTCTTTTCAGTGTTGTCTTGTGTGAACAAGTGTTTCAGTCCTGACACATTTGAAAACACCAAAGTAACCACATGTATTAGAACAGATTTTCTTTCACTTACCTTGCACCTCAGCTTTTATGGGCTCTGGATGTTCTTCTTTATTTCTACCAAATATCGCATCCATGTCTCATGTAATAAACAGTTTCTGTGTCCTCTACCCAGCTGCTCCGGCAGCCGTAGTGGTCCTCTCCTGCCTGGGCTAAGAACAGCTCTTTCCTGTTACATATAAAGATAAGGTCAAAGTGCAATGCAGGCTAGTGGCTGGTGGTTTATAGATTGACAATTTATAATAGCTGATCTTTAATCCCTAGCATTTATGCTATAATTCTTGCACATTATCATTAAAATTAACTCTTTCACTGATTCAAAGAAGTAAGAAAAATGTAACTCCCCTGTTTGCTCCTATGATCCTATCTGGAGCAGCCAGGCACACCCAGGAGTCAGGTGGAATGACTGTGAAACATCACTTTCAGCTTTTTGGATAAAATTTCAGACACTGCGTAGGGCTGCTTGCCCCATTTGGCAGGTAAGGAGAGAAAAAAAAAAAATCTCTACCCACTGTTCTGAATTTGGCTCTTTGGGAGTGGCAAACATTGCAGAGCAGGGTGTCATCCTTTTATTTCCATTCTGTGAAATTTGAACTAAGCTATTCTATTAATTAACAGAATATCATCACTGAACAGTCATGTGCTGTATTTCTTTATATACAAGCTGTTCCAGAGTGAACTGTGTGGCACATCTTTGAATTAAACATCTTTTCACAAATAATCACAATAACATATTCTCCCATATGTGACCTGAATCCACTCTGTGAAAGTATGGCAGGAATTAAAAATAAGGGGGATTTTTAACTTCACACTTCTGTTTCTAGATGATACTTACCTGAGTTCAATGTTGTTAATTTTAAAATCCTCTGCGAAAAGAATTATTTCAATATAAACTATATGATTGCTGAGCAAATCATAGGCCCCGTTGAACATGAAGGATAAAAAGATTATTTGCACAATTATATACTGTGCACTTTCGTATGAGGTTACCCTAAAATCCGATTTTTTCAGCTAAATCACCATTGTCCCCAAAATGTTTTAACATACCTTCTTAAGGCTGACTGATCTTTTCTAATTGTAAATATTTATTTTATTTAAAACACAATTTGTGTTACAGTCTGCTCTGACACAGTTGTATATGTTACTCCTCTCTTCCTAACCTATTGTCTGCTTGATGGCTTATCCTCACTTGGGGAGATCACTCAGATAGCATGCCTTTGTCTCTGGAGAGCACTGACAGAAGCAGCTGATAAAATAAAAAGCCAGATTAAAAAAGAAAATATATGGGCTTTGTTGGAATTAGTAGTACTAATAAACACCAGGATTGAACCAGAAGGCTGTAGATGAAGGGTATCAAAGTCAATATACATACACATATGCAGATATATATGCATAAATATATTTGAATATATGTGAGAGTGTGTGTGTGTGTGTGTATTGAGATGTAGACTTACTTGTATACACAAAACCAAGTAAGAGATTTTTCAGCAGTGTTAGAGACTGGATGTGATCTGGCAAAAAAGCAAAGCTCTCTAACACTATTTCCACTAAGATATGGGGACATTTTCTCTGTTCATGTTGTTCTGCCTTGCTTTAATATGTTCTCTTCAGCATATCCTCATCCATTTAGATGGCCACAACTCTTACTGCTGCAGTTTTAATTATCTCACCTGTGAGTGGTCTAATCTGTAGCAGTACTAGGAAGATTTCCATAGAGCAAGCAAGCAATAAAAAAGATTAATTCAAACCACTTTTGACCTTCTCCATCACGACTGTTCATGCAACTTAAGGTTCAGCCAAGATGAGATAAATGGAAACCTTGTTAAAAGTTATTTGAATGGAAGAACAAGGACATACAGATATCCAGCAGCTTTTGAAATCAACCTAAATGTGTTTTGGTATCTAATTTCAGGTGTCTGTGCCTGTAAGTTTTGTCCCATATTTTGTACAACTCAAATAAGGAGGCCTTACAAAGTTCATTTTTCCTGCTTGTCAGGAAAAATACTTCTTTTGCCAGCAAACCCCTTTTTTGTTGTTGTTTTCATCATACTATTGACAGATAAGCAGTTTAATAAGATATGGAGAGATTAATTTTCTTGTTGTGTAATTTTCCCCTTTTTACATTGAAATGGAGAAATATCAAAGCATTGATTTTTATTGATTATAATGTGTAATTATCAGCAGAAGTAAATGTGGACTAGGTGACTTTTCTAATTTATTATTTCACAATGTCTCTTCTCGCATTCTAAAAAGGTTACAAAGCTCCATATGCTAGAGAAGATAGAGGAAATACAACCCCCTCTGGAGAGACTGCCAGTAGCTCTTTGATTTGGGGTTTACCAGACACATTGTAACTCTTATATATAAAGTTTACCAAAACATTGCAAACTCAGGGAGACTGTACTGTCATACTCTTCCCAGTAAGGAATATTGAAAACATAATCCCTAATGCAAATGATCCAATCCCATGGTTTGAATAGCTTCTCCTGATGCTTCACCACATTTTCAAATGCTATCCAGCTGCAGAATCCTTCAAATATAAATCTTCCCCCAACCAAATCTATAATTTCTCCCTACAGTTTCCTCTCTCTCTCTTCAACCCTCATGACAATAGTTTTGAAGTTACCAGCTCCCCACCAAAGCCAGGTTTTCTTCACTGTACTTTTTTTCCTGCTTTAAACAATTGTGGTGAAGGCTATGAGATGTTTCCTCTTGGGTTCTTTCTGACTTTCACTTTCCTCCAGCCTCTGAGTGCCTTGAGCTTCTCTCCCAAACTTAAAAAGGGCCATGGAGACATCTTTGGAGCAAAGCATTACCCTGCCCAGCCTTGGTCTGATTGTTCCCTCTGGCCATTCAAAGCTGGGGATGACATTTAGGGTGTGATCCCTGTGGTCAGCCAAAATAAAACCTCCCAAGGCAGAGGAGCTGGTTAACTAAATTTCTACTATAACAATAATGTCATCGCCATGTGTCTACCTTTTCTGCTTTTGGTTCACTTACACAAGAAGCAAATAATTGCCTTATAAATCAGAGAGAGATCAATAATATTCCTTACCTCTATTTTGAAATATAAGTACCTAATTTACTTTAATCTCAACCTTTCTCTTAGAAAATTAGAGTTCTAGTTAAAGACCATTAACAAAGGTCAAATTACCTGAATATGACTTTAAGCTGTGCTAAGAACTTTCAACTATCAACTGTTACCAAATAAAGACTCCAACAGTAAAACTGATAGGGACTGATACATCATTCTGGCTGAAATCACACTGATTGCTGTCCCACTGTGCCAGAGATAAAAGCTCTCATCTTTGTTAAATACTGTCTTATTGACATGATCTAATTTCCAAAAAATACCACTAGCACTACCTAGGAACACTTCTCTTGCACTGTCCAAGTATAGTTGCAAACACAAACCACTAATATAGTTTGTACGAATTTAAATAGTATTTTCCATATGTTATTCTGATCAGGTTTTGTTTGGATCAAAACAGTTTTGATCATATACTGTTTTGATTGGTATTGTTTGGATCAAAATAACTATTTTTTGACATTTTAATTTTCTTTATGAGATTTTATTTTTTTGTGAGATTTTTGTGAGATTTCACTAGAACTGCTAGCCTACCCATACCAGTATCCAAACAGATTGAGCCTGCCCAGTGATCATAATGCCTAACCATTCAAATGCCCAAACATTTAAACACTAGACATTCAAATAAGTAAACAGCCACAGTATCCACACAAACCTCCTCACCATCGACTTTTATAACCTTATCTGCACCTTTCAACATCCCAAGACTATTTACATGTTTTAATATTTAATATGTTATACAGTTCAGTAATGTGTTTTCAAGTGGGCAGAATGACAACATGTAGGTTGGCATTCAGTTCTGTGACTGAAGGTGTAGAAATGGTGTTAGACATTTACAGGGACAGCAGTTAATGCTGCTACACCTTGTCCTACCTTTTAGTCTACTGCACATCTTTGGGAGAACATAACAGAAAAACTAAAAAGAACTGTTTTCTGTATTTAGTCAGGTGGCATCTGAGTGTAGAGTGCTTAACATAAAGGCAGTGTTCCTGAACAGAGAATCTGCTGGACCTCCAGTCTTCTCATTATGGGGATTGTGATGCTGATCTCTTTTGTAAGGTATTGGATATCTACTGAGAGACATTATTAATGAAAACAACTTGTAACACAGCTTTTTTCTTCACGTTTTCATGTCCTATAAGCTCAGAAATAGCTCACAAAAAGCAGAAGAAAAATGTGTAACAAAATTAAATAAAACAAACAAGAAGTGGAAGCTGGACTGCCTTAGATATCTGGCCAGTCTTACGATTATGGGAATCTGGAGTGACTGCAGAGACACCAGTGGAGTTGTGATGGGTGTAGATTCAGATCCAAGCAATTTTTTTTTTGCCTCTTTGTGTGTGCTAGGAAAAGTTCAGTCCATTTGTATCTACCAGTTAATGTTCTACCCAAAGCGAGTACCTTTAATCCTTAGAACAGTTCACTTATTAAGATATTAAGGTAATGGCACATCTAAATTGTGCCACTTAGTCAGTCACGATCACAAGAAGACATGAGGTGTCAGCACAGTGCTGATACTTTCTGTGTGAATTCAAGGCTAACCTTAGCCATCAATAACCCTAGCTCAATTAATGTTCTTACGGGGCACACTTATCCCTTGAATAGTAGAAGTTCTGCTGTGGAAGGCAATAGAACATAGGAATTAGATGGGAAAGAGGGAGGTGTTGAGGCATCAACTGTATGGCAGGTGAGAAAAGTCAAGCTACAAGCCTGAAGGCAATACTAGGTGCTTCTGAAGGGACAGTTACTAGGTGAAGATCCTCAGGGACTTATCCAGGCAACATTTGTGCCAGAAGGTAACCATATACATCCTATAAACAGAAATTATATCCGACCCAGCAACTCCTGATTGTAGTGCTACTTATCTTTATCTTGACCCCATCACGCCAGGCATGAATGTCTAATTTAATTATTACACCCTGTAAAGATAAGAATTGTTTTCCCTGTTTTTCTAAACAAGATAACATCAAAATTGCAACTTGGCAGGGCTCACTGGTAAGTCCACTGTGTTGCCATATGGAAAATTAGACAGCAGAGCAATGACAAAAACAAACCCTTTTCAGTCAGCAAATGACTGGGTG